ATGAAAGATAATACATTTGGGATTTAGTGGGTAGGAAGGAGCCTGATTATCAAGTACTTCACAGTAGAAACTCCATCATAGTCCTTGTTGGATCAAAATCCAACTGAAGTGTAGCTCTTTTAGATCTTATTATTTCAATGAAAGGGTTGAATGTTTGCCTAACTATCCATTTAAACTGGGAATTTTAACTAGGGCTGGACTGTGCTCAGTGTTATTCAGATGCAGGAACTGTATAATAGGAAGTGCCAATTTTTGGAGATGTACCGTCTTCATAAAATGTTCCAGCCAAGTGGCTGGCTAGAAGGTTTTATGAAGATAAAGAATGATTCCTTTTTCGAATATTTTAACTCTGAAGGTATTATCCAGCATTGATTCTATTATCAGAAGCCCAAGAAGAGCTCCCCTAATAACACTCATGCAGAAAAAGCGGCTTGGTAAAAGCTGTACTCAGGAGAATGAGGAGGAAAGCGGATTTGAGCATCTCCCTGCTGTAATTGAAATCTGGGCTGACCAGCTAATGGCTCTGAAGGTACTGGTGATCTTTGCTGTCTTCAGCCTTGGGACCCACCCCTGTCCCTGCTGCTGCCCCTTGTGTGCATGTGTTTTCCAAATATCTTTGTACTCATTTTCAGGAGTGTAATTTCAATGTACAAGTGGCTTAAAATAATAAGTATATCTTGCAGCAGAGAATTCTTTACACTTTATCAGTAGTATCCTAAGAAGTCTTTCTCTTCCCTTTGAAATATGTTGTTTTTAAACAAGGAGAAGAATATGGGAACCTGATAATGAACTTCTCACAGTATCCTGTTTAAATTCTTATATTGAACACCCAAAAGAATAATATGTCAACATCTTTGTTTTGTTCTTTCAAGAACTTGCATCAGTCCTTGAAAAAGCTAGTTCTGCAGTTAGTTCCTTGGCATACCAAAGTTATGCAGGATACCAATGAATGCATTAGAGTTGAGGACCTTCAGCTCATAGTAGAGAGAATCTCTGAAGAAGTAAACAATGAAGAAAAGGTAATCTTGTTCAAAAGTTCTGATTATTCAGATGTTTTAGTTTAATGTGTTTCTTTACATATGTGGAAATAGTATTTTGGTTCAGTGTGCATAAAGTATGACAAAACCATTTTGGTCCTCAGTGTACACATGCATTTGTATGTATGTAATGTGGGCTTATAATGATCTCAAGCCTTGATCTGTCAGTCTATTTAGAAAATGACACACTCGTTGTTTTCTAGTTATACCTGGGAGAATCCTAGACTTTAGACAGAAGACATCCCCAGGGTTCTATTATGTTTAATCAGGGTGGAATTCATCAATCCACCCATTTGCTTTTATTCATATCCTACAGAAAAGTCATATTCCGTCACAACAAACCTTGTACGCAGTTGTCTGTCATTTTCAAAAACTGTTTGACGTGAAGACGCTGAATGGCATTTACCCTCGAATGAATGAAGTTTATACAAAACTTGGCGAAATGATCAATGCTATGAGGAACCTCTGTGACCTCTTAGAACTAGGTATGAATCTGTTGCCTCTTCCTCTAACCTGCTCAGAGGCAGCCCAGGATAATGTGGGGATGAGCTCAGCTGTGTTCTTTGAGAGGGGTCTGTATATTGAAAGGACTATGATAACTTCACCATAATTTTTGCAGGAAGAGAATGGTTGACATAATTTTATCCCAGTGAAATGCTTTTCCTGCAACTTAAACTTAATTCCAAATTTATGCTGAGGTAAAAAAACACAGTCAGAGGATGGAATAATAAAATGCAAAACACAGCACAAAATCGCATTGAATGATACATATCTTGTTTGGTTTCATTTAATATTCATAGTTTGGTCTCATACAAGCTCAGCAAAAGCATGTTGCAAAAGACCATTAAACACAGCCCCCAGTTTGCCATCAACTTTTTGGGATTTACTGATTTTAAAAGCTCATGTAAGGCAGTGGCTCTGCAGCTCCTGGGACCGCATCACCTGGCCACAGGAGAGACTGGAAGTACACTTTGGAGGAGATCTGATATCAGATCTCTTTCTGACCCTACAGAAAAGCCCATAATCTTTTGTCAAGAATTCTGGCATGTAGGAGGATAAATGGGAAGCAGATTAAAGTCATACTATCGTTGGCTAAAATAAAGCAACTGATCTCCACAGTCCTAAATTCTCTTTCTCATATCCTAGAACTGTTCCAAGTACTGTTTTTTTCATTGCTTACAACAGAAGATTTTTTTCCGGCAAACAAATGGCAGGAAGGAACCTTCCTCCATCCCATCCTGTTGACATGAACCCAGTCAGTTTTGTGAAATGTCAGGGGCCTCTAAAATAATAGGGTTGCTCTGTTCATGTTTGTCTTATCCTTGCACTATCAGTGCCACAATCATTTTAGTAGGTGGTTGGTTTCACCTTCCCCTTAAAAACTCTTGCATGCTGTCTCGGCCCACATTTTCTTACGTTGCTTAGTGTGGGTGGGTGAGTTGGCAGCCACTTTGAGCAGCTTGCTGTTAATTTGGTCCCATTTAACTGTTGTGAAACGTTGTACAGAAACTGATGCAAAGTTTCTTCACAGATAGCTCAGCACCACCCAGTGTCCTGGTGAACACTGTTGGAAAGCTATGCAGCTTGTTTAATGAGAATGTGGCCTGGCAGGTAGAACAACTCCTAGGCACGCAAGACATTGAAAGGTATGTAAATCTTCATAGTTAACTAATAGTAGCTTTTCAAGGATGCATTCTAAATGCATAACGGAGAGAGAATGGTGTGGCATCCTGTCAAATATTTGAAGAACACTATCATGCCCCCCTCAGTCTTTTTTTTTCAAGGCAAAATTTAGACAGCCTTTTCAGTCTTTATTGGGCTTAACTTCTAGAGACCTGGTCCTCTTTGCCTTTCTGGGAAGCTGTTCCAGTTTCTCACAATGCTTCTTAAAACTGGGGTGTCCAAAAGTGGGTATAGTACTTTAGGTGAGGCCTGATCATAGAAGAAGAGAATGGAATACTTAATTCTTGTGATTTGGATATTACAGGTAGTCCTCACTTAACTAAGGTAATTGGGACCGGCAGCTCAGTCGCTAATGACGCGGTCGTAAAGCGCAACGTCACTTGACCACATGGTCCCAGCATTCCACATGGTCGCAGCATCCTGTGGTCACCTGATCGCCATTTCTGACTTCCTGCTGGGTTCCCCACTGACTTTGCTTGTTGGAAGCCAGCAGTGAAGGTTGCAAATGGTGATCACATGACCGTGGGACACTGTGACCATCGTAATTGCCAGCCAGTTGCCAAGCACCTGAATCTCAATCATGTGACCACAGGGACGCTACAACGGCTGCAACTACAAGGAGCGGTTGTAAGTCCCCTCATTCAATGCTGTTATAACTTCGAACAGTCACTGAACGAGTACTGAACGAGGGCTACCTGTATATTTCTGCTGATGGAGTTTAAAACTGCATTTGTCTTTTTTGCAGCCACATTACACTGTTGTCTCATACTCAGTTTACAGTCAACTATAATTAGTTGTCCAACATGATAAGATCAGGGTCTAGTGGGCATGTTGTTTAAATGACAAAATCAGGGAATGAACGTTTGTCAAATTGATATTTTTCAGCATTATCTACAAGTTAGAAGAATATGATGACTTTTTCCCAGCATTTCATGCTCTTATTAACAACTTGCTTTGTATTCTAGGTAAGCACTTTCTGCAAATTCTTGTTTCCATGATAAAATTAATGACAATGGATAGAAGTCAGGGCTCTCAGAACATTATTCCAGAATAATTTTGCTTCCCCCAGAATTTAAGGGCAACGTTTAGCTGTCTTTTTAAAAATATACCTCAAAGACATTTGTAATCATGTGGGATGATCCATTGTCCTTCTAAGGCAATGTTGCATGTGCCCCCCCCAAAAGTATTGGGAACAGCGCTCGAAGACTACCCAAGTTATTGCTGAATTGTAATTGTAATACATGTCTAGAAAGTAATCAATTATAATTAATTATAAATATAAATGTAAGTTAGTTTTTCCCTGTTTGCATCCTTCTCTGTTTGGAGTATACACCTAGGTGCTGCATACTCTTGCTGTCAGAACCAAGTAGAGAGGGATCTTAGGGTCACTGAGCAAAATTCATGTTAATTACGTAAGGATGGGATATATGGTGTTTCTGTATTGGCCAATTATTTTATTGGGGATTGCCAACCATTCAGAGCAATTCACTCATGTTGTTGCATCTTTTGAGAGGCTTGGTGCACCTGCTTTGAGGGCTTTATAAGATCTGCCCAGGGCCCAAAAATACTTCCTGTTGGATTGCCACTGAGGGTTGCTTGGCTTCACTGCCATTCTCATTGGCGGAGATGACCTTGGAAAACCCCCTTTTTGAAGTAGCCATGTTCAGCCTTCACATGGACATGCTTTAATGATTTTGTAGCAGTGTTGCAAGCAAAGGGCCCCTCTTTTGTGTGCACAGCTCTATGTCAGAAGCTGATGAATGTAATATAAGTAATACTTTTAATGTGTATTCAGGTCTGGTCATTTTGAGTGTTTTGTTCTATACTGTCTAGCCTGGAATTTTCCATTCTCAGACTAATTATAGCCTGCTTAGTTTTTAGCCTACTTCTGATACTTTACAATATAAGGTATAAATAGGGCCATACCTCTTAAAACTCCACTGGATATCTAGAAATAGGTGATTGTTGAATTGAAAAGGCAAAGTAACATGTGAAAAATTGCTTTTGTTTCAGAAGTCAGAAGTCTCACAGATATATTACCTGCTGTGCAGAAGCTGAAATGGAAGGTCCAATAATATGAACTAAATATAAATCTTTAATATGTTTTCTACCTCTTATGTATTTTTGAATATTTTTATTAAAAATGTCTGAATGGACTCTTGATGATTTGTTATTTGCTTCTAACAGTATAGGAACCAAGTTTTCAAAGCTGATTAATAAGGATGGAATATTGGTAGTTAATAAGTTATAAGCAGCTACTATACCATAATTTAAATAGTTTATTCTTTAAAAGCACATTCCATCTGTAGTTTAAATAAACCGTTTCTGAATTATATTCTTTGGCATAATTAATGCAAAACTTGGATTGAGTTTTATCTACAAAATTTAAGGCAATGGTTGGATTCTAGAGTCTTGGCCTCTTTGGCAGCCATCCTTTCTCCTTAATCCCTTGGATCATCTGAAAAAAAACCACAGGATCCTTTAGAACAGGATTCAGTGAAATGTGAGGAAATGCTGCCTGAAGGAAGAGCCCCCCCACCACTGCACCTGCAGGGATGAGGGATTTGTTACCTTCTCACCTCCCAGAAAAAGAGGGTTCAATCCAGACCAAAAAAGTACATTCTGTGAACAAAACTAGCATACCTGTCGATGTGATTTCAAAAAGATGTGGACTCTGGTTTACTTGTGGCGCTTTGTGTGAGGGAATAGAGCTGGGAGGGTAAAACTAAGCAGCAACAGTACTCGGTCACCAGAGCCTGAGGATATGGAAAGCAGAGTGCTCTGCATCCAGAAGAGGATCCCGTGTGTCTTTGGTCAATCAACTGGGGAACTCCTCAAGTATATACTTACTGTTATGAATTTTACCATTAAAAGTTAATTCAGCCCTGAAAAAGTTAGAATTAAGAAACTGGTACTAATACATTAAATAAGTTAAGCATTATTGAAGTATAAACATTTACAAAATCTTATAGCAGTCTTCAAAGTTCCAAATATGCATGAAGTGTGCTGTTGATCAGGTGGGAAGGAATCAACTCTGGGGCTGTCCAGTTATTGTCAACTGATACCTGTAAAAGAAAGGTGGCATGATGGGCTAAAGCAGATCATCATCCACAAAGTTTTTTTTAAAAAAAAATTAAAGGCAATACTGCAGGGAATCATAGACTCCCAATGGGATTCAGCTTGCCTATGCTAGACACAGTTGCACCATCTGGCAGTCTGAGGGTGGGATTACCAGCTGCATAAAGTACAGCTGAATCACGGCATTGGTCCTACTTAGCTCAGAAACAGTCTTCCAGATAGCTAGGTTCACTTAACCTAAAATATTCAAAATGTGCATCACCATTTCAGGCTGTTTAAAAGCAAAATGTTTGGAATGACAATGAAGTCTGCGGCCTTTTCACGTTTTCAGGTTGATTTTGTTTCCTCCTTGTTTTATGAAATCAAGTTTTTAAAACAGCGACAGTGGTGAAAGAGTAGTGGAGAGTAATATTTAACTATTACTCAGACCATAGTTTCTTGGGTTATCCAGAAGGCCATTACTAAACCACAGAGCTACCGAATTTCTCATTTCTTACTATTCTACTTGTATTAAAAACTTGACCTGGCATAAATAGATCACACTTCTTGCTAGAGTTCTTGACATCCTCTTGATAGCAAAATTACTCTGATAGTGAGGTTGAAATTTGAGTTGCTGCTGAATCCCATGTAAAGCAGATGGGCAAAATATTGTAAAGCACAGCCTAGATATATGAAGTGCAATTCCTCCCTGGATTTTCCACTGGCTTTTTCGGGAGAGGAACCAGTATTTGAAACAAGCAGTTATGATTCCTTCTGCTTGGTCCATTCTGCACATTCCAGATCTAATGTCTAGTCCTCTTATTGCATCTAGCACTGTTTCACAGACTACGTCGCTACCTTTTTGTACGCCGAACATTCAAACATACCATTGAGAGAAGCCCTTGACTAGATCTTCCTTTGATAAGTCAATCAGCACCTTTAAAAGGAAAAGTCAGAATTGTTAACCTGCTTAATTAAATATTTGAGTTGCAAGCACATGGTTTAAAAAAAATAAAGTGTATTTCCAAGTATAAAACTGCCAAGCAAGTTCATAACACAGTACTGCTGTTTCTACCTCTCCACATTCTTTTAGATACCTTCACTCTAATAGAGTAGCAACATTTTGAAGTTATCTAGCAATCAATAATTATTATCTAAATAATTTGTATAAAAGGTTCTTATCTCAAGTGTACAAGAGTGGAGAGAAAGGGAAGAAAATAGTGAGCTATCCTCATACAATCAGTATCAATTGTTCACTTTCCTTTTTAAAGAGCATCTTACCTTTCCAAGTTCTTTCCTTTCATGTGAAATAAGTGACTTTCTGTTTTTCACTGCAATATCTAAAGCTCGTTTCTTAATGTCTTCCAAAGTGTCATAAAATTCAAATCTAAATGTATGTAAAAAAAATAGGTATATGCTAAATAAACAGCAATCCCCTAATACTAAAAGGTTACAGCTTTACCAAAACAATAAAAAAGCAATTAGAAAAAATACTTCCAATATGCAACACACTCTCAAATTCCAAAACCTTCTAGATTGCAGAGGCAATGCCCACATAGATTAGATCAGATGTGACTGAATCTGTGAAGCATGTTTTTCTAGGTTATGCCTGTTATTCTGATTTAAGATTGGCTACTCCAACCATCATTACATTATAGCTGAAAAGTCCTAAAATCACCTAGTCCATTGCAAAGTTCTGCTACTTAATGACACAGATACACCATGGTAAAGTTGCCCTCAGAGGACTGAATAACTAACTGCAGAGGTAACCTTGCTTTCATATGAAAATTGTTGAATGTTTTATCGTGTATCAGTTTTATTTATTATATTGGATTTCTGGGCAATGATTGTAATAAAGTTTTGATTTGATCTGATTCCTCAAATTCAAAATCTTGGATTACAGGTGGAATTATATAGGTCATCTGAATAGATCAGATATTTTATTTATTTTCATATATTTAATTTCTGCACAATCTCTAGATAGTGATCTTTCTTTCTGAAGCAGAAAGACGGTAGATCACTCCAGCATCCTTTTTGCATCTGAGAAAAATGGTTGACATTGAGACCTCGGATTGTTTCAGGTTGCACCCAGGAGTGGATGTTTTGAAAACAGCACCAAAGACAAGCTCTATGTGACCCCAACAGTAAAGTAAAACTTAAACTGAGCTCTAATTTCATCACCTAGTGATATTGCATGTTCCTGATGAGTATTATGGGGATACCAGGTGCAATATCTAGGTTTCAGCAGGAAGAAATGTCATTCTAGCATTTACTTACTTCTCATCATACTGAGGATTCAGTGTTCTTTTCTTCACAGTAGTTCTCCTTCGGGTTACCCATCTTTTGTCTGGGAGCAAGTAGATGCGAACATATGGATGTGCTCCGTGCCGAGAGCATGATATTAAATTTCTTATGGGTAGAAAATGATAGCATATTTACAATCAACAGACTAAGAAAGACCTTCTAAAGAAAAGATTCAGTCAATTTAAGCTTGCTGTAAATTTAATCTTTTCCTTGAATTTGAAAAAAAACTATCTAGAGGATCTTTGCCCATAATAGACATAATTCTTGGGACAGAATTGTTACTAAGGTTCAGCTGGATTGAAGTGAAACATCTAAAAGCTGTTACAATTCTCGGAATTATCGAACCCAATTTACAACAGTTCTTCACTGGGCAAAGGTGTGCAATTACATGGGGCTGCCCTTGAAGACCACCTGGAAGCTTCAACTGGTCCAGAATGCAGCAGCATGGGCACTGATGGGTATACCTTGGTATGCTCACCTAATACCTCTGCTTTCTGAGCTGTGCTGGTTGCCAGTTTGCTTCCAGGTATGATTCAAGGTCCTATAGGCCCCTTTATAGGCTTGTTACCTATAAAGCCCTATGTGGCATAGGGCCTGGTTACTTGAAGGACCACTTGTCTCCCATAGTATCTGCCCAGCCAATTCAATTTGGCAGAATTGGCACATTCCAGATTTCTTCAATTAAGCAATGCCTGGAAGTGCATCTTCTCTGTCACAGCACCAGCCCTCTGGAATGAGGTTCCTCCTGAGATCTGAATGTTCCCATCTGCTGGTGTTTCAAGGGGCCCTGAAGACCTGTCTCTTTGTCCAAGCCTTTGGTGGGGATGACTGAAGCCTCCTTTTAACCCAGACTGTTTTCTTTGGTTTCTACCTGGTTTATTATTCTGCCATCTTTTTCATTGTTTCTTGTTTTTAATGTCTTGTTTTTAATGTTTTAAATCATTTGTTTAAATGATTTAAACCAGAATTGTTGGGAGTTGGGCAGCCTATACATTTAAACAACAACAACAATACAGTCAGCCAACAATAGTGGCAGTTTCTGTTTGAATCCTCCAATCCAGAAAGTTTGGAAGTAAAACTGCTATACATATATTCATTCCATTAAGCAAAGATTAATTAAATAGTTGCCAATATACCCAAGGTGTGTCAGGAGAGACTGTGTATTCCAAATATTAAGAAGAATGGTATTTCTCCCAGAACAGAAACGGAGAAAGATTGCTAAACATTACCTGCATGAGTTGACCAACACAATGAGAGATTGCCTTAACGAAGCATACCGAACAGTGAGGTGAATCTCTCCCATAGACGTTCCATCAGGAAGTGTCCCACTGCAAGGTAATTGGCTTAATTAAAGGAAGTTCATGACTGAAGCAGCTGGATACCTCCTGCTTGCCTAAAAGCCAAACATCAAGTCTATCCCCATACACAAGCCAAATTTTTAAATTTGTTTTTTGCTTTACTTTATAAACAGATCAAAGAGGAAAAAAATAAAATGATATCAAAAAGAGAAAAGAAAGAGATGTGTATTTTATTGTACACAAGCTAACCTGACTTTAAATCATTCCCCAAAAGAGGCATTCTGTGTTTCAACTAAGACATATCTCTTGGTAGTTGTGGCAGTTCATTTCTCTCTCTGGTGTGTTTCAGTATATTTCAAAGCCAAACTAATATTAAAAGAAAAAGGTTTAGTCACAGTAGTATATATTCTTCTGGGATTAGGCAAAGCAATTAAAACCTGGTTATTTCAACAGACCTTTGAGGGGAAGATGATTTGAAAGGGATATGTGTTGTGGAAGAGTAGATATTTATATGGGGTTATGATTCCTCAGCATAGGAATATTTGATTTGGTATAATTGCTGATCGTTGGCTAGTTTTGCTCTTTTAATCTCATTTATTTATGATTGTATTGTAAGCCACTCTAACTCGGTTGAGGATATAGCATATAAGCCTAGTAAAATAAAGTAATAAGTAAAATTCTAACCATGGAATATCAAGAGCATTTACACAGAAAAATATAGGATGCATAGTTACCACGGCACCAGTCCTGGAAACGTAGTTGCATTTCTATAGCCTAATGCCCTCTACATTTGTTGAACTACTACTTCCATCACCTCCAACCTGCATGGGCAATGTTGGATGGTGGCGATGGAAATTGTAGCCCAACAGTTCTAGAGGAACTATTCTCTTAGAGCTCTGTATTAATTATTATTCTGTCCAGTATCTTATACTGAACCATAATTTTAATTGTAAAATAATCTTTAACTATGTTGCTGTCTTCCAGAAATAAGCAACCTGTGGCTCTTCAGCTGCACTATTGCATTTCCCATAATTCTGAAATGGGAAATACCTGAAAATTACAGTGAAGGACCTATCTCCCAGAAAATATAAGAAAAGTAGCAGCCCCTTCCATGTACAACACAAGGTCCCACTCACTTTGTATCATAACTCCACCCACTGTAGTTCTTTCCCCACAAAAACCATAATGTTGCCGCCGCCAACAAAAGGTTGCCCAGTTCTATTCTAGCCCAAGACCAGATCTTAAGAAATACAAGCCCTTCCATATGGGACTGTGAGTTGATACAGATTTACAGAGACATATCTAGGAACTTTAATTTTTCCATAATGCACATCTACAATTTAAGCACAAATATTCTAATCTGTCATATGGGGTTGACCCTACCTATTTTCCATACTATAAATTATTAAGGTAAGAGTGAAGCAACTATTTAGCCTAGCTAGGTCAGCTTTGTGTTACTGAATACAATTGTGAAATAGAATACCCAGCTAATGTTCAGTCTGACTTACTTATTGAGGTTCAGATTGCTGCAAGTTACATCCATCACTGAAGAGGCTTCAGTGCCTAGAGATGCCATGCTGGGGGCAATCTGGAGTCTCTGCAGAGCTGGCAATGTTGGGGGTACTTGAATGGTCTGTGGAGGTGTCAAGGATTTGGGGTCCAAGCCACCTGTAACTCCTTGTTCATTAATTCCAGCAACTGCCTCTATAACAATGGGCTCTGACCATTTTTCATTTATATTAGAGTTAGCATTGCTCTCCTGCTTGTCTTCTTTGGATTCAGGCACAGCAGATTCTTTGTTCCCCTGGACTGCCTTGGGCACTTCTAGTGGTGGTGGTGGTGGTGGTGGAGGAGGAGGAGGAGGACGAGGCGGTGGCAGCTGTGTCTTGTTTTGGTTCTCATCCTGTTCTGTGGCTGAGATAGGAACTTGTTTGAAGGCATTAACCCCATTATTGGTGTTTTCTGAATCAGGGACCTCTATCTCCAGAGCCTAAAGCAGAAAAATGAAGCTAGGCATGACCATTACTAATCATTAATAAAAAGCGGAGTCTGCAGAAGGCCTTCAAAATTGCTACCAAAATGTTAATGTTCAGTGTGAGAAAATGAGAAAAGTATTAATACATAGCAAGTAATTGTGTTAATTATAAATAAAATGTAGTTCCTGTCTTGGCCTCATCAATATATTGCACTATGGTCTTTATCTATTTGCTCATTCATTTGTTATTGTATGGCCGCCCATCTCAGTTGCATGACTGGGTGGCTAACAATTAAAAACAAAATAAAAACCATAAGCTAAAACTATAAACAACATAAAATAGCAACCAGACAAAAACATACAACAAATATCCACTGTTAGTACAGCCAAGAGACGGGCTCACCCCATTTGTTACCCCATTCAAGGACCAAGTGTGGCCTTCCGCCTGAAAAAGAGGCACGGCCTTCTCTGAAGGCAGAGTCTCTTCTAGTCACATTCCAGGGAATTTAGCTAAGAAGTGGAAGGTCTTTACCTGCTGATCCTAGAAAAGGGGAGGTGTCACCCCCCCAGTCAACACAGTGACTGAAAAATCACAGGATTCCTGTGTCCCACATATGAGTATGGAATATAGCATGTGCGGTGTTTACAGCTTAACGTTCTTGGACATTCGCACCTCACTGTTGTACTTGTGCAAAGGCTACAATTGTCTTGATAGCACACAGTTACTGTTTAATCTTAATAGCTTTTTGTTCTTTACATTGAAGGGTGGTATTTTTTTTTTTTTTACTTCAGTGGAATATCTGTGCCTGTAGTAAAAGGTAGGTCTTTACGTAGACGTTATTTCCTTCAAATGATGCCATACTTAATTACTTCATCAGATATTTTTGCAGAGATTTTGCCTTGATACTGGATTGATACAGGCAACTGTTCTATTATGGTAGAAATCATTGTTGCTATAATTCTTCCCATTTATGATTTTTTTTAGCAATAGCAGGAATTATTTTATTAAGTATGAAAGCGAGATCATTGTAAACTGTTGTGTAATGTCACTGAGTCAGCATACAAATAAACTCAGAAACAATTTGGACCCAGGTGATATGTGCTGTTGTCTTCAAACCAATTCCCATTTAATTGCTCTCGTGGGAAAGAATGCAAATCATACGTTGGAAATGTATCTATCACATATCCACTTAAGACTATTCTTTTGAAAATATGTGAGATTTCTGTTCCTAAACCACCTGGCTATTCTTTCAAAATTCAAAACCCATCTTCTGGAAAAGAAAATGTTCTATTTTAAAATATATTAAACTGATGATGTATATATTCAAGATAAGAAATTCCATTTTTTAAAATTGATCATTTACCTTATTTAAGAACTGTTTTCCACACATGACTTGGAAGCTATTTAGCCAACTATTCTGCATTATCGCTAAGATGCCCCTAATGACCATCTTCTTGGGCTCTGGACATCAATAGATTTAAGGTGCATTTTTTAGGATTATGACTTCTGACATGCAGTAATTTAGTCTTAAAAATGTTAAGGGAGGTGAGGAAATAGGAGACTGAAGTGTTCCTTTCCTCTCTGCTGCTTCTCCTGCAGACCATTTCCTCTATTTATATAATTAATATGTATTTATTAGTAATATAAAGAAATGACATTCATGAAAGGAATGCAAACACCAGAAAACATTAGAATCTGGCACTTTTTAGGAAAACTCTAAACACAATATGTAGCTCCCTAGCTCATATTGTGCTTCAGCCCAGCTTTGCTTATTGTAAACCCTAACATCTGAAAAATATAAATCAGAGTCTATAAATTACATTTAACGTACAAGCATTCAGACATGTAGGTGATTAATGCAGCATTTGCATCAATCCCTTATCAAGCCAAGGTTCAAAAATGTATTATCTGTTTTTTTGTTTTTAATTAAAAATACTGTAAATTTATTCAGAATTACTGCTTGCTTGTAAAAACTAAGATCAGTTACTCAAATAAGTTCAGATGGAAAGTGTTCTGTAAGACCCAGGGAAGAATTATCAGCTGCTAAGATGCCACCCTAGATATGAACAAATACTCCACCTACATAATGTTATACTTACTTACAGAGACAAGATCAAGTGATACCTTTGATGCATTCAAATTCATAATCCATTTGGCATGGATAATACAAACCTATATATGACATAGGTTTGGTTTCAGTATAGTTCTCCAAGACTCATTATACTTAGGAGAAATACTTAGTCAAATTATTAGTTTATTAAATCTGATGATCAGGCTATCATTGTGCCTTACTTCATAGGATGAAAAGGATATTAATTACTTTCAGGAATGCAGAACAATTTTTTCCACTAAGAACAGGAAGAACTACAGTGGGGGCGGGGGGGGGGGAAATAGAAGAAAGTTAAGCTTACTCTCAGCACAATTTTCAGCTTAACAGAACTGTCCACACCAGAATGATCCAGTTGAAAATTTTGTTCAAGTGTCATCTCAGGATTCCTTAATAAACGAGCAAGAGAAATCACCAAAGTCCCAAGGGCATTCTCCCGATCCTTATCTTTGATCTAGACCAAGGAAAACAGAGGCAGTGTAAATGGGCAAGACCAGTGAGTCCTGGTAGTATTTTAAACCCTCCCTTTTCAGATCATGTATACCACCATTATGCAAATCAGCAGCAATTTCTCCATTTGACATGGGAGTACAGTATTTAGACAAGATATATTGAGCGGAAATTCAGCAATTAACTGGGCTATTTAAAACTCTTTATGACCACCTTAACTTTTATAATAGATGAGAAAAAGCTAATGGTCATGGTAGGGGAGCTCTAATAATAAGAGAAGAATCAATTATATCTGAGCAGCTAGAAAGCTAACAAAGCATTCAAAGCTTACTTAACTACTCATTCGGTCAATATAAGGCATGAAGGCAGTGGAGAAAAGCTTCAAAAACAAGGCAAATAAATAACCACGCATAAGACTAGGGTGAGCCATGGTGCAACATGATATCTTTGATGCTATCTCACTCTACTGATCCTGCAACTTAAATTTTCACAAAAGTGCCCCAAACTCCACAGTTGATAATGCATAGACATATGGGCTATTTGCTTGTAAAATTGATCCATATTTTCATAGGTGACCCAGATTTACAGTAGGTCCTGAAGAATATGGTGTGAGAAAGTCTGCCTTACTGGCTGGAAAGGTGCTCATTAAAAACATTTCTAATCATATCATAAATGCATTTTTTTTTTTTTTACCAAAAAAGCACAGAGGAGACAAAATGGACAAATAAATACCCACATTTTGGAATGTCCTGACCAAACCAGTCATAGTGTTACTAAGTTGTATCTTTTAATTCTTCACTGCAAATGATTCATCTGTAAATGCTTTTTCTACTGGGAACTGTTCCCATAGGTTGATTGACTGATTGATTGATTGATTGATTGATTGATTGATTGATTGAATGAATGAATGAATGAATGAATGAATGAATAAGCAAGCAAGCAAGCAAGCAATCCACTGGAAACAGTTCGTATGAAACCTACTGGCACTGTCAGACACACTGAGAAATATCTTGAATTTTGGTCAGATATACAAAATAAAAAAAAATCCACACTCAACAGTCTCCTCCTCTTTTTACGATGGACATGAGCACAGAAGACATACAAAAAAATAAATCCCAACTCTGCTACTTTACCAGGGAGAGAAAGAAGGAAACAAACTGACCTCCAAATGAAGAGACTGCGATGGAGCACTATGGACAAAGAAAGTGAATGCCTGCCTCCACGCCGGATCCTTAGTGAAATTACAAGTCTGTTTGAGTAAGAAAACCAGAAATGACATCTGGACATTAGATCAAACAGGTTTAGGCTGCATTCACAAAGGCACACTTCTGATTAGACATGCATAGAATTGCTCTATTCTGCACTCAAATCAGCTCAGTTTCCCTGGCTTCAGTGGAACATGCTTCAAAGTGTATAGAGCAGTGATGGCGAACCTTTTGGGCTCAGTGTGCCAAAAATTCAGAAAATGCCTAACTTGACTCTGCTGGCATGTCACACCCCGCCCCCAACAAAAGAGAAACAATTCTTTATGTAGTCATTCATTTAAAAAAAATATACAGTCCAATCATGTGTGGTGCTCTGTATTATATAAAGAAATGTCAAATAGTTACAAAAATGGAATACGAGTAAAACAAACTCAGTTACTTTGTAACTCAAATAGGGAGAAAAGTTGTTATCAGGTGTTGGTGAACCCTGGCGTGTCACCCAAAATGTGGCATGTCACCTCTGACATGTGTGTCATAGGTTCACCATCACTGGTATAGAGCCTTAAGTGTTCTCTTAGCAGGATGGAATATTTGGTTTGCCAGGTTTACGGAACTACAACTCCCTGAGTCCTAGCTAATATGGCGGAATGCTGGGAGTTGCAGTTCAGCAACATCTGGAAGCTCACCACTTCTCTTGCCCAAAGGAGACATGACCCATGCTTTATACATCAACCACCCCAACTACCAGTTTATATGCTTTCACCGGAGCTATTCGAAGAATTGTTTTCTGCCTAGCAGATCCACAACAGAATACTAAATATTCATCCTGAAATCTGACAATCGAGTAATCCTTGGGTAATTGACAGTCTGAGCGAGCTGCCTTACTTTGACCCTGAGGGAGAAGGAAGGTCTTTGTCACTTGTGCAGCAGGTTTTAAATACACCATTAACAAGGGCACAGTTGATCCTGAGTCCAGATGAATTAATCCTGAATTTAAAATGGAGCAATAGGGCGTCCCCTTTCCATCCCTTTAGGAATGATAATTTTCTGCATCAAAGGCTGCTTCTGAAGAACAGCTCAAAGGACAGGTTGGAATCCACCCCCGCCATCCAATCCAGGGCAGGCCCTTCAGTCACCTTGTTGCTGGCTCAGGAGCAAAGGCCCCTGTCTACCATGCCAATGTAATGTCTGCAGGGGAAAATCAAGGGCCACGTTAATGAGGGATTATTTAGCGCCTGGATGCACTAACAGCTCTCAGAACAGAGCTCAAGGAAAGCAAGTGCAGCACATATATTTAAAGATGAATACCATACTTGTGAGAAGGGTGATCAAATATTTGCTGAGTGATTATACAGAGTTCCAGTAGTATTAATCCAGAGCAGTGGCATTATATTCAAGTTCTTTACAGACCATACATATAGTATTTGATACAACAAGTACAAAGCTTCTCCCTCTTCTCTTTATTACTTTGTATGTCAAAAGAGCTTCCCAACACTTGGGCTTTAAGTAGGGTGTTGGACTGAGGGCCCTCTAATCTAATCCAGCAAGGGTCTTCTCAAAAGTTCTCAGTGGATGCAAGTGCAGTCACACAGTCGCAAGCACTCAATCATCTGCTAATTTGAGTTCAAAGCAGAAAACCCTCGAGGTGTCACCTTGCTCTGCCATTTGGAAACACTGAGCTTTTAAAAAACAAAACAAAAAAAAACAAAACAAAGCAAGTGTACTTTTTTAATCCATGTATGGTTCTCAGGACTGAGGTTCTCATTCAATCTCTTCTTGCAAAATTATTTACAGCACAGCAGGAAGGTTATTTTATTTATTTACAAAGTTTCTCTCTAGCTCTTTCATGATTAAAAATGAACTCAACATGGAGATTTCTGTTACAGCAATTCTGTTAAATACATATAGTATTGCTTTAGCATGTAGGGACCAGACATCAGTCCATAGTGGGCCAAGCATTTATATGCACCAAGCATTGTTTTTTATTGCTTTGAACTTTGGAAATCTGAACTCCATCTCCCAGCACTTCTCAGTTTTGGCCATGCTACCTAGGCTGTTGGGGCTATTCAGCAGTGCTTGAAGGGCCACAGGTTCCCCAGTCTCTATCTTAAAAATGTCTTTGGTACTTTTAAAACAATTTTTCAGAACTTTGCTACTGCAAACTCATTTCTACCTTATGAAAAAGAAGATCATGTCCATTACCTTGCTTCTGTGAGTTTTGTTGCCCACTGTGAGTAGGACAAAGGAAGAAGGTTCTCTTTCTATCTTCTGTTGTATTTACAATTTTGAAGTAAAAGACAGTATTAATAGCAAGATAAAATTCACAAGAGAATGCAAAGAGAGATAGGATAACATTTACTTGAATGTTTCAAAAGATTGGAAGACGGGTTAGAAGCCTTAACATGAATCAGAATTTAGTACTTATATGCTATCCAGCATTAATTCTTGGCTATGGTCAAATTAGAATGTCCACATTTTGAGCTAGAATTTGAGTATGGTACACAGTAAACAATTATCAATATTGCTGCTTTTTTACTGCAAATATGTTGAATGCCCCCTACTGTGTTACTCTTCCTGAATCTGGCATCATCTAGATGTGCCAGATGACAGCTCTATTCATTCCCAACCATGCTGGTAAATACCTGGATTTTGGGGATAATGGAAACTGTAGTCCCATAGATCTGATCACATTTGGGTGGTGGAGCTGAATTATGTCTTAAACCAGAGGACAGTGTGAGAAAACCAGTTAAGAAAGTTGAAAGTAGAATATGACTAAATTGCAGATTATATTTGCATTACGATGATGGGACATTGAAGCCTTGATAAACATCACCTGTCTAAACCTAATCTAGTAACATGGATAACCAGAGTTGTTATTTCTTCAACTGTGCAATGATTTTACCTTTATCTTATAATTTGAGAAGCAGTTGCTGAGTTTTGAAAATTATTTATTTATTTAAAAGATTTGCATGGCTGCCCATCTTAGGACACAGCTCTGGGCATCTCTTCACAACAATATAACTACAAAAACCATAAAACCAAAACTAAAAACCTGGCATCTCAATCATCCTCCCAGGATGCCACAATAACCAACCACAGGCTCCCACCACTCTACCCTATGCTTGAGTTTCTGATGTTTCTGTTCACAGAAAAATGCCACAAACAAAACAAAACAAAACAAAACCCCATATATTGCCTAATCTTTGTTTCAACGTTGTTCCTACATACTGTGCAGTTTTATTTCAAACAAATAATCTGAAATGGACAGGCTGTGACCCTCTCCAGTCTATTTACAGTGCAACAGAGGCCAACTTGCCCCTTTTGGACATGTGGCTCAGGGGCAAAGCAAGGGGGAGAACAGACTGACAGCTCAGCCCACTTCAGCTGAGCTGAATGTGAACAATGAGCATGTGAATGTGAGCAATGGTGGGTAAGTGGGTCATCTGTACAGATGAATGTTTACAACCTGCCATAGCTAACTGCCAAAATTAGATTTTTCAGACAGTGGGGTGGCTGGCACAGAATTGGAATCTTCACCTGAAGCTGTACCAAACATCGTTGTAACTCATACAGCTTGGCCAATCTATTGTATTCCCAAAGTGCCTCTTTGACCATTTTTGCATTTAATACCCCTGGTTTTTTTTTAAATACCTTCTAGAATTTATTAAATCATCCATAATGTATTCAGTTCAATACCCATTTTAAACACTCAGAAATAAGGGGCATTTACCTTGAGATATCTGTCTTTTCTGTATTTCTTTGCTCCATATTCACCACTGGAATATTCCAATTGATTTTTCTATATTAGGAAAAAAAAGGAATAAAAAAGGAATTTTAAAAAGTGAAGTGACATGATAGTGTAGGACTGCTTCCCCCAAATGTTTTACCTAGGATTTTTGTAATTTCAGTACTAAGCAGACTATTTTCTATCTGATCTGTTTTATCTGGGTTGATGGCCTTTATATTTTATGGTCCTGTTTGAGTTTCTGCTGCTTTTAATTTATTTTTATCCTTTTAAACTTAATATGTTTTCAAAATTAATAAATCAACTGAAGGGCAGTCCTAAAAATAATAAAACAGGCCAATATTGATCAGGAATCAAAGGCATACTAATGTTGCCAGCAATGGGAATCTTAGAAGACAGCTAGAAAAAACTAGCAGGAATAAATATCTAGCAGGAAAAAAAGTTGTTCTACCAAAGAAATAAAGCTGAAATTTGGATTATAGGAAACAGCAAGTGGCAGAAGCGAATTTTAGTAAAGTTAGGAGATTCAAGACTGCTTATATATATTGTGGACAAAGTAGGCAACCTGTGACTCTCTCAAAGTTGCTGAACTACAACTAACAGCAGTCCCAGGTAGCACGGTCAATAATCAGGAATGCAGGGAGTGGTAAATCAGCAACATTTGGAGGGTCTCTGAAAAACATATAAAGCTCAGTTAATTTTGTGAGACTTTGCAGCCTTCTTCATCTTGTTGTCCTGCTAATCAACTAGCACTGATTCTCTGCCTTGTCTTCTGAAACACTGATTTCCAACTATTACACACACAAATCATTTTTCATTACATATGTATAGGTGCCATGCATTTAATTCCAATTTTGGTTGGAATTAGCAATTATGTCAGCTACATGGGTATGCTTTGCAGAGAAACTACTGCATCCACTGCAAACCACATCTTGTACAAATAGCAAGCATACAGACTGTGGAAACATTTACTTCTGTGTAGCCAGAGGATATGTGAAAATGTTTTTACTTACAGGAAGGTTTAGAGCACTGTCCAAATACACTATGAGAATTGCAGTGGCAAGACCATTCCTATCCTAAAAACAAGCAAACAAAGAACCCCCCACAAAATTAACACGCAGATGTGAACACCACAAATATTTCAAGCCCTCATAGTTCTCTGTCACCCAACAGCTAGGGAATATGAACATTACTCAATAGTGCAACATTACCCCAAATGCCACAGAGCTGCAAACCCTGCCCAATCAATGCAAATTACATTTGCCACAGAAATGCTTTAAATACAGCTGCCACAAGAAATTACACAAGAAGGCAGACACCCCGGGCAATCTCTTTGTTCTGCATTCTTTCAGCTGTTTTGGAGCACACATTTCTTCTCAAGCCTCACAAAGCACTCACCTCACTAAGTTTCTCTTGACTGGTGACCAGAGAAAACCACTCGAGCTTTAAGTGGACATGCCCACTTGCTATCTTGCTCAAGGGAAACCACTTCACAAAGAGAAAGAAACCACATCAATGCCAGAATTAAACATAAGTTGCATCTTTATGTTAATCTGCATACAAGGAGAAATTCAGGAACTCATTTATCTTGGCATTTTACTGGGCCTAGTTTGAGATGATACACCTTAAAAACCTGATTCTTTTTAACTGTATTTGTTCAGCTGGAAAAGAGAAAACCACGACTGCTGTTTACTGAGGCACAATCAGCTCTAATTTGAAATACAGATGGCATTTAATTCTACAATAAATAACTGACAGTACTCAAATTATTTTAATTCTGCAGGAGGAAAGGATGGTCCTCCAGCTTTTAGAAAGTCTCTGTCAAGTTTGACTCGTGGTAATGTCTTAGACACATCAATATAGTTTTTTGATATGAAAGAGGCTTGTCCCAACCTCTTTTCCCAACAATGTTTCCTTAGCTTTGCAGCCCACCCAAAAACCCTGCAGTGCTGCTTAGTTTATCCTGAAAGCCAAAGTCAGATGCTGTAAAGAATTGGGGAGATGACTCTGAGGGAAACAGGCAAGAACCTTTATAAAAGCAAGAAGGAGCTGAAATGTTCCAACATTCCTGTTCCTGGGAAACAAGATAGTATTTGGAAGGGGTTTAGGCAGACCCCTCCCTGATTCAATGGGGTATAAGAGGGAGGAGAGGTAAAGTACAATCAGGCCTGTAAGATTCTGCTATTGTAGCCTATCTTAATAAAGTAGAGTTCTTCCTGTCTTCCTGTGGAGTCTGTTTCCTGATCTGGTCTATCCTGAAGGGCTGACAGCTGCAACCTAGCCGGGCCCTCCAGGTTTTACTCAAGAGCAAATGGCTCCTAGATTTAAAAACTCTCAAAATGCTAATTGATCCACTTAGCCTATCAACAAGCGGAATAAGATCAGTAATTATTTCATTACATGTGCACTCATTTACTCTAGGGTGCAACGGTTCCTGCACCATTTGATATGTATACTTGTACACATACAGTACATACTTGTGGTGCCACAAACCCTCAGTGTCCATGCATGTAATGAAATTTCCCTTGAAAACCTATGCCACCACAAAACTAATAATCTGTGGAGATACTCCAAGACTCTCTACAATATTTTTACTGTCCTATCTCACAACCTAGGCAAACATTTCTAATTTCTCAAAATAGCACTGAGAACTCACATGCCTGAAATGAAAAAATAGTCCTACTTAGCATTTACATTTGGTAAAACCTTCTGTTTTTATTGTTGATAAGCCACTCATAAAATATGGATGCCTTTCAAGAAACACCATGACATGTGTAAAGCCCAAAACAAATCTTACCTCATCAACAATTCTGTCTTTCATCACATCTGCAAGGTTTATAAGCAAGCTGTGAAAAAATACAGGAAGTCACACAAACAAAACCCTCAGGGATAGCTGTATTTGTTTTTGTAATTAATAGGTACCATATGCTGCAATGGAGGTTCATAGTGTTCAGATGCTTCTGATCTTACTGCACCTCACACTGAACTGTGATTTTCTTATAAATCATAGAATCTCCTGGAGTTCCATGAAATATTCTGGCTTCCAATCTGAGCAGATTTTAATAGAAAGAGAGTGCTCTGGTAGATTCTAAGAACTGAATGCTCTCAAGGAAGTTATTTGATTCTGAGCCTAGTTCAACATTACAAATTATAAAGTAAGCTTTCTGTAGACAAATAATAACTGAGATTGTTCTTCTTCAATCAATGTCAATATGCATAGGCTCAAAAAACATGGAGCTCTCTAGAGTGGCTTCTTCACTTATGAAACCTAATTGTGCTGCATATTTCTATTGGATATTTATATTTCAAAGCACTGCTTTGAAACCACAGCCCAGTCCATGAGTAACTCTCAAGTTGAGCAAGGTTCTGGTTTGCTTAGGTTTTATATTACAGATAGTCCTTGAGTTACCACCATTCGTTCAGTGACCGAAGTTACTACAGTGCTGAAAAAACAGACTTACAACTGGTCCCTGAAGTTATGGCTGTTGTAGGGCCCCCACCATCATGTGATCACCACTTGCAACCTTCCCTGCTGGCTTCGCACAAGCAAAGTTAATGGGGAAGCTGGCATGGGAGATTGCAAGTCACTCTGGTAAGTCTCCCCTACCCACCCTGCACCACACCCTCCTTCTACTGACTCTATTCTAGAGCAGAATGTGACATGAAAAAGTACCATTTGGGCTCATCTCCAATATGCAATATATCAGTGTTGTCCAAACTTGGCCACTTTAAGATGAGTGGACTTCAACTCCCAGAATTCCCCAGCCAGCCATGCTGGCTGGGGAATTCTGGGAATTGAAGTCCACTCATCTTAAAGTGGCCAAGTTTGGACAACACTGATATATTGCATATTGGAGATGAGCCCAAATGGTACTTTTTCATGTCACATTCTGCTCTAGACTCCCAGAATTCCCCAGCCAGCATGGCTGGCTGGGGAATTCTGGGAATTGAAGTCCACTCATCTTAGAGTGGCCAAGTTTGGACAACACTGCAATATATACATTAAAAAGTAAAAGGTATAATTCTTCTTGGGACTGTACAATGCACATTGGGGGAATCGATATTTTCTGCATCAAAAATTTGTTGTGCTTGTTTTAAAAATCAGCAGATTAGAAGATGGGCTAGAACTAATTTTCCCCAACACTGTACTTTTTTATGACTTTTTTTGAAGCAGGAGCATTCAAATGTGTAACGGTCCACCTGCATTCAGAAAAGTTATACAAAAATCAGAACTGTCTGCTGTTTTGGAATGCATGGAAATGACCATACCAATTCCACTGGCTCTAAGCTGCCACATGGCAGAAAAAGATACAACATAACATTAAACACATACAAGAGGAAATTTGTATTCCTTACCTGCCCAAAAAGTCATCTTTATCTGGATCTTCATCATAAAGGTCTACTTCTAGATCTTGGCCGGGTACTTCATGAACAACAAACTGAAATGAGTGAAAGAAAAATTAAATAACAAAAGAGAACAGCTAGGAGCTATTGTTCTTGAAATGCCACTATGTACGTAAAAAGTCTTCCACCTCTTCTGTTGTAGGGCATTAAATTAAAAGTCTTCCAGTTCTTCTGAAGTTACTTGCATTGCCACACACACTCGAACTGAAGCGGTGGAAGAAAATTAAGTTCCTCCTCACATTCTTGATAATCAATTAAATTGAGAATAGGTGAAGTGTATCATGTAGTTTAACAAGGTGCAATTTGAGACAGAATTCAAAGGAGTATTACAAGGGGAAAAAAGGTGCAGGAACCATTAATGCATAAGCAGGCTCCCCGGTGAAACAACAACAAAAAGCTCTTTCAAATATTGTTCAGTTTATTATACTAACTGGTTTCATTGGAAAGCCTTTTCAAGAGAAATTACTATAGTAATTCCAAAAACTTCATGAAAAGCCCCTTCAGACAGCCTTACTCTCAGTTTCTTTAAAACACATCAGGACAAAGGGAACAATATTTGGAATGGTTTTTTTCGTTTGTAAATTAGTTTACAGTTATCCCAGTAAACTGTTTACTCCTGTAAATTAGTTAACAATTAATCCATTTCTCTTGCTGGCAACCAGACATATATTGTAATACCCTTCGGGTGCTTTGGACTTCAGCTCCCCTAAACGCTAAGCAAAATGGCTGACATTCAGGGATTCTGGGAGTTGTGGTCAGAATATCTGAAGAGTATTAGGTCGCATATTCGTACTGAAATACTGTTTCCTCAGTCACTCGATTTATTCTTTACTCAAAGTATTTACAGAAACAAAAGGTCTTTTAGAAGACATTTAGTTTTAAAAATACATTAATGTGGACTGTATTCCTATATTCACTTACCAGAAAAAAACCTCCCCTACCTCGGTGGGACTTACTTTCGAGCAGGCGTATATAGAATTATTCCTAGTATATGCAAAACTCCAGACACAACCACCAGCTGTTTCAGCATTAGGGCCCGATCCAGCATTACGTGAGTGGACTTGCATAACAATTTATTTTTTTCTTCCCCTTTTCTCCTTCACACTCTTGGAAATATGCCCCATCTCAAATCTGCCGCAGCAGATGCAGGAAGTGGTGGACTATTGCAAATAATTCTCAGCATTTTGTTTTTAAGCATGCAAGAAGAAGTGTTACCTCAAACATTTCATTCCAGATGGGATTCAGGTCTCTTTGTACTGTTTTGCTCCGGAACTGCACCAGGCCAACTCGAAGGAGTGCGTAAGGGTCCGATTTGCCTCTGATTGCCCCAAGGAAGTTGTCTTTTTGAACAAGATTTTCAGCTTCCAAAAGATATACTCTTATGACTCCCTTGAAAACATAAATTCATACAATCGTTAAATATTATTTAGAACATTTGTTCACCAGGGGATCTCTCTTTTCTATACTATTGTCAACATAACATTAAGGACAGTGGTGAATGTCTCTAACCACAACCCACAGAAACAACTTACATGAGATTTGCCAATAGTACATTTAACTTTATTACAAGAATCTATTTTGTTATTTTGCATTTTGTTTTTATCATAAGCCTCCTGTTGTGGAGGATAAGGAAAAAGGCCAATTGGTTTCCTTTCCTTGCCTCAAGGAAGAAGTCTTTTACATCTTAGGTTATGAAGAGTTTTCTCTAGTGAAGGGGGGAGGAGTGCCTGTTTGCAATCTTATGAAATCAAGAAATGGATTACCAAAATAAACCTGCATTAACTACAAGTCTACCACATATTCTTTACTGAGCCTTAGCATTCATTCATTCATTCTGACCTGATTCCTGCCAAGCCTGTTGTCTGCTCAAAAATTCTCTCCAAACCAGGAAGTTTTTTTAGCAAAAGAAAGCTTTCCCAAAACTTCTAAGGTTTTGTGTGGTATTTTGGTTGGAGAAGAGGGCAGAAGACAGAGGAACAGGCAAGTTCCAACTGTTAGTTAAGACAGAAAGATAAATCTTTGCCCTATAGCTTTCTCTCTGCTGTGCTGATTCAAATACAAGCATGGAGTTAAGCTTGCAATCTCTCTTTCTACCTTATAACAGGCATCACAACATGGCAGGTGTCTGGAAGAACAAACAAGCTGGGGTAGGCCTCATTCTTTTAGAAGGCTTCTTTTTGTATACTTTGAGCCAGATGCCTCACTAACAAGTTTTCAAAACACAACTCTGTCCTCAAACTTACACGTGGTATAGGAAACCGCAACTGAGCAACATTCATGTTCTTTTTCAATGGGATTGTGATTCGGTTTGGCAACACCAGCCGGGTAGCAATGAGATCTTGAATGAGTGAGTCTGACAATAAACTGAAATAATAAAGGACACATTTTATTTAAAACAAAATGGAAGAGTGTATGTGTGTCAAACTGCTCTGTTGAGCTTGTGTCTCCTGCATTATTTGTAGATTCCATCTTAGCAGACTGCCAAGGTTTGTTGTCCAGCAAGTGCTTTGGGATGCGGGGGAAGGGGGAGTAGGGGGGGTGCACACTCATGTTTTCTTTCAGCCTGATAGTTTAGGACCTTTTGTTAGAAACAGGTAAATCATTTAGGACAGAACAGCTTGACTGAAGAAGAAAACTTAGTAAAACAAGGTTATTTACTGATGTGCAGATAAGCCTGATTTAGTTATGCCTATTATTTTATGCCTTCAAGTTGCTCTTGACTCCTGGCAACTGCCTGGGCAAGTCCCTGCAGTTTTCTTGGCAAGATTTCAGAAGTGGTTTTCCCTTGCCTGCTTCCTAAGGCTGAGAGAGAGGGGCTGGCCCAAGGTC